TGGACCACTTCCACTGTGGAAGGGCAGCATTTTGTCCTTACAGGAAGAGACACTCTAGAGATGGATTTGTCTTCCTTGTGTGCAATATTGGCGCCAAACTACAATCTGTGGACTTACCCAGTGCCTTATCTACCATCCTGATACTCCACACAGCATTGCTTCTGACTAAGGAAGTCACTTCATAGCTGAAGAAGTGCAGCAATGGGCTCATGCTCATGGAATTTACTATTCTTACTATGTTCCTCATCATCCTGAAGCAACTGGCCTGATAGAACGGTGGAATGGTTTCTCAAAGTCACAGTTGCAGTGCCAGCTAGGTGACAATACTTTGCAGAGCTAGGGCAAAGTTTTCTAGAATGTTGTCTATGCTCTGAATCAGCATCCAATACGTGGTACTGTTTCTCTTATAGAGAGAATTAACAGGTCCAGAAATCATGGCACGACTCACCATCACTCCTAGTGACCCACTAGCAAAATTTTTGCTTCCTGTTTCCATAACTTTATGTTCTGCTGGCCTAGAGATCTTAATTCCAGGGAGTGGAATTCTTCTATATGGAGACACAGCAATGATCTCACTGAACTGGAAATTAAGAACTGCCATCTTGCACTTTGGACTTCTCGTGAATCAGTGAGGAGCCTCTGCATCAATAGGCTTGAAGGGAGTTTCGGTGTTGACTGGGGTGATTGATCTGAACTACCTAGGAGAAATTGGACTACTACTCCACATGGAAGTAGAGAAGAGTATGTCTGGAACATAGGGGATCCCTTAGGTTGTCTCTTAGAATAACCTTATCCTTTACCATCATTTTTTCTTTCTTTTCTTATTCCTTAATTATGTAACACAAGATTGACTTTATATATCAATATCTAAGTATTGTTAGTTGAACATCATGATATTTAAGTTATGGGAAGTTATTAGAAAAAGAATAAAGATCACCCAAAAATGTTACTTCTTTTGGGGATGGGATTGGTGCATTTTTGTTTGTATGCATCACATTAGGTGGAATTATGCCCTTGCTATTGCCTTATCCAGAGATTAAGTATGGTCTAAGGAGATGCATTTGAGTGCCAGGGTGACAAAGGTGGACTTGTGATGGTTGATATTAGATGTCAATTTGGGTTGAGGTAAACCTAGAAGGTTTATTGTTTCTGGGTGTGTCTGTGAGAATGTTTCCAGAGGAGATGGACAGTGAATCAGTGTACTGAGAGAGGAGACCCGAACTCTGTGTGGACAGGCACCATCCCATCAGCTGGCAGCCTACCCAGGACAAAGCAGGCGGAAGACGGTTGACTTTGTTTCCCCTCTCTCTCCCTTCTGGTGCAGGACGCCTTTTTCTCCTCCTGCCCTTGGACATCAGTTCTTCAGCTTTGAACTCTGGGACTTGCAATGGTGGCCTCCTGAGAGCTGTAAGGCCTTCAGCCTTAGAATGGGGGCTGCACTGATGGCTTTCCCAGTTCTGAGGCTTTTGGGCTTGGTCTGAGCCCCAGTACCAGCTTTTTTGGTTTTCCACTTGCAGATGACCTGTTGTGGGATTTCCCCGTTATGATCGTGTTAGCCAGTTCACCCCTAATGAATCCCCTTTATATATCTATATCTATATCTATATCTATATCTATATCTATATCTATATCTATATCTATATCTATCTATCCTATTTTGTATTTATGTTCTATTGTCCTATCTCTTTGGAGAATCCTAATATACATATGGTGCTGTTTGTTTTTTTTAATAAGCATGCACACATTTATTTTCTCTACTCTCATATATGAAATGTGGTGTACTTTTGTATTTTCTACACCTTGCTTCCCCCCCCACACTTAATTATATGTTTTGAAGATCTCTCCATGTCAGAACACAAGCTTTCCTCATTCATATATTTTGTTTATTTTTCTGAGACAGGATCTCACTCTGTTGCCCAGGCTAGAGAGCAGTGACATCATCACAGCTTGCTGCAACTTCAAGACTCAAGTGATCCTTCCTGCCTCAGCCTGCCAACATGCTGGGATTACAGGCATGAGCCTCCAGGCCTGACCTTCTCATTTGTTTTTATAGCTTACATAGCTTTTTTTTTTTTTTTTTATGTGAATGTACTATGGTTTATTCAACCAGATCTCCGTATCTGAACTCATGGATTTTCCCCATTCTTTTGCTATTATTAATGCCACCGTGTATAAGATTATACAGGTAGCATTTTGTATATGTATAGGTATATATGTAGGATAGATTTCTATAAATAATATTGCTGGTTAAAAGAATAAATATAGCTGAGATCTTAAAACAATATTACCAGATTTTACTCTTTAGGTACCATTTTAAACCTCTATAATTTCTATAACAAGGCCTGTTTCCCACAGCCTCACCATAAAGAGTGTCCTCCTTTGAATTTATGCCCATATGTTAGGTGAGAAATAATATCTCAGTGTAGTTTTATTGCCCATTTATGTTATTACAAGTGAAATTTAGCAGCTTTTCATGTTTACAAGATGTTGTATTTTTTTTTCTGTGAACACTCTGTTCATGTCATTGTCATTTTTTATGGTGACCTGTTTTTCTTCATTCCTAGATACTGTTCATATTTTTTTGGGAGAATACTCTTTTGTCTGTGATACAAGCAAAAACATTTTCCCCCTAGTTTATCATTGTTTCTTTATTTTGCTTACAATGGTGGCTTTTACAGAAGATTTAGAATTTTTTGTAAAGTAATCAATCTTTTCTTCTTTGGCTTTAGGATTTTTAGTTCTATTTACAGAAGGCTCCAGGGATGTAAAGGAATTCATCCAAGTTTCTTCCTAGAAACTAAGTTTTGAAAATTTAAAACTTTGATCGTGTGTGTCTATCTTTTTTCCAAAAGGCTCTCCACTCTTTTTCCAATAACATTTATTAAAAAGTCCCATTTTGCCTGATTTGAGACTCTGTGTTTATCACGTACTATATTTCTTTACTCATATGGATCTATTCATGAGCTTTCTATTGGTTCTATTCTGTTGTTGTCATCTTGTTTTTTTAGTAGTTGTTATATAGGAAGATTTTAACTTTATTTTAATAGCCACACGTTAATATCTTTAAGCGCTGACCTGAGTTCTCTCTTCCTTTAGGCAGTGTCTATTGGTTTCCTACTCTGTGAAATAATAAAACTAACTTGTGGCATCTTCCTCCTCCTTTTTTCCCCTCCACCATCCAATGTTAGTACACAGTGTTATATTTCTTAATATTTGCTTTGTATGTTTAGACATGCTTAAGATTTTATGACTTGATTTGTTGGCAGGACATGATCTTTTGTCTCTCAGCTTTTATCAATGAGGCAATCAGTGAATTTATTTCACTTTTTGCCATTTCTCCATTTCCTCCTTGGAAACTAAGCAGTTTATTATTAGGGAGCAATGCCCATGAAAAATAGAGGATGAAGCAGAAGTGGGCAGAGGAAACTTTCAGACCATGATGCAGATCTGATATCCGTGAAAGCAAAAGGGGCAGGAAGCAAGATTAGGAGGGAGAGCCTTAGTCCAGGATGTAGATTTGGCAAAGTCTCGGCCATAAGGAGAGTTGTGGAGCACAGGTTGCCTGTTGCAGAGTCCCATCTTGGGCAGAAATGTCCAGACCCAAGTACTCCTGTGGTGATCAGTCCTGGGCTGATCATACAGAGCTACTCCAAGATGAGCCTGGGAGGGACAGAGGTAAGTGAGTGGCCAGGGATCTCTGTCAGACAGAGAAGCATATGGCAAATGCAGAATCTGGATTGGGAACATGTTAAAATAAGTACGATTAAGCTAAATACACTAAGTAAATTAACTACTTTGTTTGAAGGATAGAAAAAAAATTCATGTTCAGAGATAGTGTGCCCTACCCTGGCCATTTGGCTGATTAGTGGCAGAGTTAACAAGAATGTGAGTCTTCATTTAGGCCTCTTTTCACCAGTCTGAGGCAAGAAACTTCAAATACACACAATCAAAATAGATTGCCATTCGAAGTTTTTATTAGTTAGAAAAAAAATCTAAACACAATCACCAGGGTTCTGATTAATAGTAGTAGTGACAGAAAAGAAAATACCTCCACATTCCTGATTAACATCATCTCTGTATATCAGGTAGCTAATTTTTATGCTTTTGTAAGTAAAGTCATGGTTTATTTTCAGAGACAATTTTGCAAACAACAATAGAGTAGTAGTTTGGTATGGTTTAAAACACATTCAAATGTATGACTAAATGTTTTTAGAAAATATTCTACTGTGGAATACATTTCACATTGAATTAATGTGAATTAATTGAATGGATAGTGAAATATTGTAAGTACCATGGGAACATGCAGAAAAATCTTTTGTGGTTCACAGAGGCTAGAATCAGGTACATTAGATCTAAATTAACTAGATATGAGACAGCAAATGTCAAACATGAGGTTTAAACAGTTACATGCTCTCAAAATGTAGTGCCAGTCTTGGTTTATGCTTGGCTGCCAAATTTCATTCCATTCACTTCAAATCTTCACTTCAAATCAACTTTCTTCTTTCTTGGCTCACAGGTCTATCAATAGATAGATTTAGATAAATGTATCTGTCTATAGATATTTAGGTATTTTTGTTCATTTGGAGAGACTCAATTTTATCCCTTCATGTTTATAGGAATTAAGTGATTAAGGTCCGTTTTTGATTGAGGCTGACATGTAGTGACCTTGTAGTTTCCCACATTTAGGAAAAAGTAAATAGTTGATGAGCCATGAAGTTTTCTCTCTTTATCTAATGACTTTCTCTCCCTTTAGTGGACTATTTCTGTAGGTCCCAAAAAGTGATCTTGAATCTTGGACATGCACCTGGTTTGTGGGATAGAGGTGGTTTGTCTTGTTAATAGGTCATGTGGGGGTGAATAGTTAGATTGAAAGATTAGTGACGGTGCTTTAAATCTGAGTAATATAATTTCACTTTGTGATTTGTGGTAAAAGTAAAGATGGTAGTTCTGTCCTTATAAATTGCATGTTATAAATGACAGCACACTTTATAACATATGTACTAAGGATTGAGCAAATACTCAAAAATTCTTTTTAGCTTATTCTCAAAAGCTGTAAGAAATTGAGAAATTTTATTTTGGGTGGGAGATGAAGTTGGTTGTTTAACAGTAGTAGTTTGGTTTGTGGGTGCAGCTGTAGTTTTGGAAGGTTCAGGTGCAGCATTGCTTGGTGCAGCTGTGGTCTCTGGTACAGTGGTGTTTGGTGGTGCAGCTGTGGTTACTGGTGGTGCAGCTGTGGTCACTGGTGGTGCAGCTGTGGTCTCCGGTGGTGCAGCTGTGGTCTCCAGTGGTGGTACAGCTGTGGTCACTGGTGGTGCAGCTGTGGTCTCCAGTGGTGGTGCAGCTGTGGTCACTGGTGGTGCAGCTGTGGTCTCCGGTGGTGCAGCTGTGGTCTCCAGTGGTGGTGCAGCTGTGGTCACTGGTGGTGCAGCTGTGGTCTCCACTGGTGGTGCAGCTGTGGTGTCTGGCACCCGGGGTGGTATTGATCCAGCTACAGAAGAGCCTGTGTTGGCATTATTTTCTCCTGAAGGTATGGCAGTAGTATTCTGAGCAAGAGGATTCAGGCCTGGAGAGGTAGGAATTTTGGTAGAAGCAGATGGGGAATTCAGAGGTGGGATTTGGGTGGTAGTATTTTTGTTGATGATGTCATTTTTAATAGGACACTTGGGTGGCAGTTGATTATTTGGGAATTTGGGGGGCTTATTAGCTGAATGTGGGGGCCTCTTATGAGGTTTGTGTGGACCAACATGGGGAGGCTTTCTAATGAATGGATTCTGGTGATACAGGGGTCTAGAAGGTGGTGGGAATTGGTAGGCAGGTCTGGGTCGATGGGGATGATGCCTTTGGTGAAATAGTTCACGATGCTTCTTTCGACCTTCACTGAGCTATGGAAAAGAAAGAAAGTGAAAGAAGTAAAAAACATCTGCCACATTGATTTATCAGCTAGGGGATCATTGCTGACCGTGGATAAGAGCAGTGTTTGTGGAGTTTTGGGATTGGAGACTGGGTACAGCAGAGGCCAAACAATGAAGAATCTTCATTAATATCAACATCAAAACTCAAATAGAAATTCTATATAAATTATTCTTAAGTACAAGGATCTCAATATATACAGAATAATGAGAGTAATGGATGTAATGATGATGAAATAGATGCATGACTAGCTAATTATGCAACTTTAGTGCTTACAGTTATTATCTCTTCATCTCGTTATGGTAAAAATGGTCAAGTTACTCCCAAAAGAACACAAAAAAAAAAAAAAAAAAAGAAAGAAGAAGAAAACCAACCAAAGAGCTCACAAAACGACAGCTGGATAAAAATTAGCCTGTTCACAACTTTAGTATAAAAAGAATATCAAGAAAAAACTAATCCAACGACAATCTATATCCATGAATCACAAAATCCACATTAGTTACATCATAAAAAAAAAATAAAAAAATAACAAAAGCCAAACAAAAATATAAAACAAGCAAGTAAATCACACCAGATATATATACAATGATCCCTAGGAGTATTTAGCTTATAATATAGTAGAAAAAGTAGGATCATACTAATACTATTTATTAACGATATAATATTATATAATAAAATAATATTTTATTAAATTAGACAAAAATAGAAGGGGGATCACAAGATAATACTATCATATGTAAGCAAATATATATAATGAATATTAGAATATATATTTAGACTGGAGAGAGAACGTGACAGCTATCATGAATTATAAAAGGAATATTGTCATGAAAAATGATTAGTATCACACATAAAATAAAATGAAGAATATGAATCCTTTACAAATACACAAGTGCTGAGATAGCTATTCTGCATAATATGCTATGACAATCTCTTTATGGTTAGAAACTCAAAACATAAAATTATAAAAGGGGTGTAAAAGAAGTATCTTGAATAATGGCTTTTTTTTGAATTCCATTTAACTGAATAAAACCTTATTTCTTCGACTTCCATTCTTGTCCCATTTTAAATGATTATTGGCAACACATAGAATAATCGAGGAAGACCTTTTAAAATTATGAAACTAACTATCCATAGCTAACATCATGAGATCTATCATAATATACAAATTAATACTTTTTGATTCTTAGCATTATATACATACTTTTGGATCCAGATATACCACGATTTAGTTTCTTACCTAAAACAACACTGAGTTTGTCATCCTGTTTTTCCTGTATTTGATCTCATATAAATTTAAATGATCAATATATAATTATAAAACTGGAAAAGGAATATTACTTAAGGGTAAGAGAACAAAAAGTCCCAACAAGATAGTTACATTTTCCTACCTGATTAATCTCCACTTAATCATTTTTTTTAACCACCAAAAAATAATCATGCCAAGCTCCATGTTATACAATTTTTGGAGAAAGTTTAGTGCAGATAAAGTGACAACTTCTGAGACTACAGAGTTGTTTAGCTTAAGATAACTTCTCAGAGACTAATATATCCAGCTTCAAAATAGCTTTGGAATTTTTGAGGAAGACCCCAAGGAAATCCACCGCAGCATCAAATAAAAATGGGATCTGATCAATTAAAAGTTTCTGCACAGCCAAGGAACCATCAATAGAGCAAATAGACACCCACAGAGTGGGAGAAATATTTCTCTTACACTCTGATAAAGGCTAATAACAAGAATTATCTAGAGCTTAAAAAATTAACAAGAAAACAAATATCCCATCAAGAATGGGTGATGGAAATGAAAGAAACTTCTCCAAAGAAGACAGAATATTGGACTGCAACATATAAGAATGCTCAACCTCTCTAATTATTAGAGAATGCAAATCAACCACAATGAGATACCACCTAACCCCAGTAAGAAGGCCTGTATCAGAATTCCAAAAACAAATGCTGGCAAGGAGTGCGCAGAGACAGGAACACTCCTACACTGCTGGTGGGACTGCAATTGTAACCTTTGTGGAAAAGAATTGGAGACACCCTCAAACAGCTAGAAATAGAATACCATTTGACCCTGCAATAGCATTGTTAGGCATCTACCAAAAGAGCATAGACATTCTATTATAAAGACATCTGCACACGAATGTTTATAGCAGCACAATTCACTATTGCACGATCATGGAAACAGCCCAGGTGCCAATCAATTCAGAGTGGATAATTAAAATGTGGTATATCCTCACAATGGAATATTACTCAATCCTAAGAAATGACAGTGAGCTAGCACCATTTAGCTATCCTGGATTAAGCTTAAGCCTGTTATACCAAGTGAGGCAACACAAGACTTGAAAATGGGCTCCACATCTACTCGCCATCAAATTGGTACTGACTGATTTAAATTCGATTTCAAATGTGGCAATACCCACCAGAGATTCGGTGTGGGGGGACCCAATCTTAGGGATGGGACGAGCATTCTGGAGGGGGAGGGCATAACTGTAACCCTTCTTAGGGAGAGGCAAAGATATACAATGTAACCAATGTTAAACAAACAAAACAAACAAAAAACTTTCTAGCAGGTGGCGGCAGGCAGGATGGGGAGGAGGAAAGGATGTATGTTCCATAACGTGTGCGATGACAACCCAGGGACTGGACATTCAGGGAGGGAGGGCGAGCAATATTTGTAACCCTAAACATTTGTACCTCATAATATGATGAATAAAAATCATGTTCTAATAAAAAAATAGCTTGAAAGAAGGCGTAATCGTTTAATAATGGAGTGAACGTCAATAAACTAAAGTAAGGGCCTCTGATCCTTATAACTTTATTTTTGGATAGATCTCTCTTAAGGGGGCATGGATTTCCAGAATCTGTAACATTGACTTTGGAAACCTCCCAGGAGATCATCTCCATTATAGGGGTGTTGTTTTCTCCTATAAAAGAAGCAGGTCACATGGTTCAAATCTTTCCCTGGAGACTCAATATGCAATCCAGATCATTACAAAACTGCTCCGATTGAAGCAGGATTGGGAGTGTCTCACTTCACTAGGTCGGTCTCTTCCTTTCCAGGTGGTCTCCAAGGATGTTATGAAGAATGTCCATATCTTGGAGGAACACATTTGAAACATTGCAACAGTGGAGGTTTGGGTCTGTCCTGTGTCTGCCATTAAATAACTGAGTTACTTTATGCAAGTCACTTAATGATACTGGGACTCATTTATGAAATTATTTGTATTAAATTAAATTCCAGATCCTAATTCTGTGATATTTATGCTTCAAAATAGTAATGTGTTCTTTCTCTTAATCAGATGAGCAGCTTCATGAGGGCAGGGATTCTCTTTTGCCCGTCTCTGTATACCCAGTACCTAGAACTATCCCTGACTCATGGCAGGCTAGATTATTTATTGAATGAGTGAATGGATGGAAATGATAATAAATAACTAATGTTTTACTGAATAAAGTCTTAACATTTAAAACTGTTTGTTAGCATATAAGATAGTTTCAGCTATTTTACTTTAGGTGACTAAAGTAATACCTATGCCATTTTTATATGAAGGTGAATGAATTAAAATACTATAATGTTAACTTAGCATAGAACATGTGTCAAATGACCAGTTTGTCTGATTTACTTAAAATATTATTATTATTATTGGCTATTACAGATGGCTATAACAGAACTTGTTTATTGGAATTGGGTTTAGGGAAGTTTGAGAGGAGAGGGAGCTGAAAATGTATGCCTCTAAGGTTCTGAGCCCAGACGATTGAAGTATGGAGGTGCTTATGATAAATATGCAAAGAGGAGCATATTAAAGATATCAACCCTTGCCTGTCTGTTCACATTCATTATTTTTATATAAAAAATCTTTAAAAAGCAGCTACTTTGTGTCGAGCCCTATTCTAAGGGGTTTACAAATGCAAATTTATTTAATATCTTAGCAACACCATAAGTGGGTACTATTATTATCATTACACAGATAAGGAAACAGTCTCAGAAGGATTAAGGTACTTTTAGGACAATATGTCTCCATGTGCAAACCACACGTCTGGGTAGGGGGAGAACTGAGGGATGAGGAAAGAGTGGGCTGGAGTCAAGGGTGTAGGAGGGGAGAGACACTCGACACCGGGAGCAAGAAAAGAGGTGTAGAAGGCAGCAGAAGATTCCTAAAACAACTAGGGAATGCCAAATTCTCTAAGGATGGAAGAGAAGGAAAAATTAGTCACGAAAGAAACAGAAAGAGTCAGAAAGGAAGAGGAATAGAAGAGTACAAGGTCAAGATTGCATTGACTCAAAATGAGAAAGCACACTAAATTTCTGCATTTGAAGTTACTAACCTATTTTTATGATCATTGGAATGTCCTTTTCTAACAAGGAAGGAAGTAGTGGTTAAATAATGTTTCATTAAACAGAGGTCCTTATCTGACTCCAGGCTACATCCCTTCCATCTTTCTTTGGGACACCTGGCAGACAGGAGCCAGACTGTCTGCTCCCTGAAATCGCCCTACAAAAGTAGGTTGGTGCAAGAGCTCCAGGCCTGGCCATTTTTGGCTGGGGGCTGCTGCTACTCTCTGATACATCCCTGTAATTTTCCAAGGATCAAGTCAAGGTCTTCTTGTGCTACTTCCTTGTGTTCAAATTCTTTAGAAACTTTCTCTCACTAGAAACTTTGAGATTTGGGCAGTTTGAAGAGCTTTGTTTATTCTGAGCATAAGGAACAAATGATTCTTTATGTGTCAAAAGGCCTCCTCAAAATAACCTCAGATTTCATCATTCCATGATGACAAAATGATTTGTGTTGATTGGAATGTCATTCAATCTAGAGGTTTTGGTTAACCAAGGGTTCCTTATTAAAATTTAACTTATTAAAAATTTAACATCACTGTGCATATTCTGACCCTAAAGGATTAACAACTATGTAAATAGAGATTGTAATAATCTTACAGTCATAATTTTTGCATCTACATTATGTTTTACAATTTATAAATACACGTGTTCTCATTCATCCTTTAACAGCCTTTTGAAGGATACACTGTTAATATTATTTTATGCATAGGGAAATTGAATCCCTGTAGATAAATTTTAAATTGCTTAAAATTCATCTAGATCAGGGGTCCTCAAACTTTTTAAACAGGGGGCCAGTTCACTGTCCCTCAGACCATTGGAGAGTGCGCACTCTGGACCCGGGACGAGTCGGCTGCTGAGCAGGACAGGCAGTGGTGGTAAAAACACCCGGTGGGCCGGGTCCTCGGCGGGCGGCATGTGGCCCGTGGGCTGTAGTTTGAGGACGCCTGATCTAGATGGTCAGTACTAGAGGTGAGGTTAAGCTCATGTCTTCTGAACCCAGCTTGAGTGCTCTTTATGCTACAATGACAGAAATCGGCATGAGAGTCCAGGGAAAAGCCAAAGATGGTTTTGTGGGGTGATATCATATGACAAATGGAAATATGAGAATATTCAGGATTAAATTCCATCCACTTTATCAGTTCTCCTGCCCTCTCTGTTCTCTACAATCATAATCTTTTGAGGCTATTCAGCCTCATCCATTAAATTTACATTTCACTTCTTGATCCTATTTCAAATTTGTCATAATAAAATTGAATAAATGTAGGTATATAGCCGTAGAAACAAACATGGTGATTATTACAGGGTTTATCACCTTGGATCATTATTAATTTTAATCTTTCTTTCCTAGTATACCCTAAAAATCATAAAGATAGGGTCCCCTTTGTAATCTTCTCTTGGTTTTGGAAACCATCCTTTCCTGTCCCCTTTTGTGTTTCCTCCATTTTTTTCCATCCATACTCAAACTTCCTACACGTTATCCCTAGGTGATCTTGCAAGCTCTCACAGCTTCAAATATATTCTAGATAAAGACTTTACCTCTTGACTTCTTTCTGAACTCCAGACAAGGTATATTCAACTAGCTGCCTTCTTGATGTCTTCATGTGGAAGTCTAATAGCCATGTCAAATTTAACATGCCCCAACAGAACACTTTTGTTAATTTCTTTTACCACACACGTGATCCAACAGAAGGTATAGTATATTCAGTTACCAAAGTATATCCTAAATCCACTTTCATGTTTTGTTTTAACTGCTGACATTCAGTGTAAGTCACCATCTTTCATCTCTTTATCTCAACTTGTTTCTTGCCATCTGTTTTTCTGAGAATCCAGAGCCTTGTCACTCTTAGGAGTGCAGCGGTGTTGCCCTGATTGTCCTGACGCTTCCCTGACTGAGAACTGAATCCATATTCTACACCAACACCCAAAGGCCCTGTGAGATCTGTCTTCTGCATCTCTGTCACATCTCAACACATTCGTGATAGTTGGTGATCTGTAGATATTGATTAAATGAAATGAATCATTCCCTTATGCTTCAATTATCTATTTCCTTACATTTCACAGAACACAAAAGATGTCAGCCTTCTTAGAAATAGGGATTGCCTGTTATGCTTTAAAAGCCAAATGTTTGATGCCCAAGAGAAGACTGATTTAGGTGGATACTCACTGAGAAGCAGGCACTCAGTGCACAGATACACACAAGCAGCGGCAACGTTTTCATCTTTTTCTGCAGTTCCTGGGAAAAACAGAAATATGGCTTACTGTTAGTTATGATATTGTGGGAGAGGGGTGCATTTTGGTGAATCGTGTAGTTTCGTTAGAAAATACAGTTTAAAATAGACCAATGCTCTCTGAAAATTACGTATATATTTTCATCCCACAGTGGTGAGGCAAATTTCCTTCAAGCCTAAGATATGTTCTTTTGGAGAAGCAGCAATGGAGTAGTGTCAAGAATTATTCAGTTTATTCAGTTATGACTAGTTTGCAACATGAACATTTTCTATGGATGCTAAAGATTGCCTATGAAAAGCATGGTCTTAGGAAGAAATAATTGTAGTCTTATTTCTATTTTAGTCCAAAAAGTCTTCCTCTTTGGTGAACCATCGTATATACTACCTGATATTTATTCAACACAGTTTTGTAAATATTCCTTGATGTTCTTTTAAGCACAGATGTTCCTTGTCTCTGGATGAGGTTGTTACTTAGGACAAAGAACCGTATCAAATAGACTCTTACTACAACTTCATTCTACTGAAGAGAAGGATGTGGCCTTTTACTTTTCTCATTTTGATTATGTATACAACATGTACATGGCAGCTTACCAGTTTTAGACAACAAAACAAAGGCTGTTACTTACACAAATCACAGCCTAGGATAAGTAAATTAGTGTGATGTCAATGTGGTGTGCTGTCCTATCAGATACCCTTCATAATACAGCCCTGTGTTTGGTCAAACTGTGTTAAAGTCATTCAGACTTGGTTTAAAATCCCAGCTCTGCCACTTACTGAGTGACTTTGAGTGAGCTGTAATCTTACTATTGTAAGATTGTTTTGAGGATGGACTGTAATAATATATATTAGAAATTGTACTGAGAATAATTCCTGATCCATCATGAAGGCTCAGTGGTACTTGTAGTTCTTGTGTATTAAGATGAAAACAATCTGGCCTAATTGGAGAAGGGAATATTATTATTTTATCACATTATTTCAATACATTATTTTATCAGTTTCCTAATATTTTAGGAAGTAAAGATTTTCTTTATTTTAAAGACCAAAAAAATATTCATACCAATCATATTTTCTTTAATGACATATGAATTGAGCCTGTTATCACACAGTTTAGCAGTTCGCCAGAAGAGAGAAGAATAACTGTACTAGAACTACTGCTAATATTTAATATACTTATGTTACCCAAAAGCTGCTCAGTTACATTAGAATATGTCTAAAATATCCAATACCTGGCGTAGTGTGAATCTTTCTTCTTAGGGTGTTCAATGCCACTGCTTGCTTCAGCTACCTTTGGGGATGCTTGACTTGCAGCAAAGGAAGAGAAGGCACATGAGAATTTTCAGGTTTTATAACTCTCCTATTGAGCTTTATGGAAATAGGAATTTGTTGGATTTAGGATAAGGTCACTTCTGTCAAAAAATTTGCTTTCAAAGACAAAGAAAGAATAGTCGTAGTTTGTTAAGGTTGACAGTAGTCCTTTGTGAACAGTTTCTTCCTGATAAACACAATGACGGTCAGAGGTTTGCAGTGACGAGTTTACTTGATTGATAGGAAGCATGATAGTGATTGATGACACTGATGGAGACAGACAACCATGGCCCAGGTCCTCCGAGCAGGGGCACATCTCCTGCCCTTCCTGTTGCCCTCCCAAAGTATCCAGACTAATTGTTTTCTGGCAGTTAATGTGTAATGGAGCACCATTTTTCCTTGTCAGTGAATATAATTTAACAAAGGGCAGAGATTAAAAAAAATAACATGATGCCAAATACTGGTGAAGGACAATTGCTTTAAAGCTAAAAAATGAACATTGAATTTTTAATGTGAGTAATTTTTAAAATTTTGACTTTTTTTTTTTTTTTTGAGTCAGAGTCTCACTCTGTTGTCTGGGCTAGAGTGCCGTGGCATCAGCCTAGCTCACAGCAACTTCAAACTCCTGGCCTCAAGCAATCCTCCTGCCTCAGCCTCCTGAGTAGCTGGGACTACAGGTATGTGCCACTGTGGCTGGCTAATTTTTTCTATATATTTTTAGTTGTGCAGCTAATTTCTTTCTATTTTTAGTAGAGACAGGGTCTAACTCTTGCTCAGGCTGGTTTCAAACTCCTGACCTTGAGAAATCCGCCCGCCTCGGCCTCGCAGAGTGCTAGGATTACAGGCGTGAGCCACCGCACCCAGCCTAAAATTTTGACTTTTTATTTTGAAAAATATTCAAATGTACAGAAATGTGAGAAGAATAGTATAATGTGCCACTCCACACTCATCCCCCTAGATTTCACAATGGTTAACACTTTGCTATGTATGCTTAAGTGTTTTGATGAAGTATTTTAAGGTTAATTACAAAAATCATAGCTAATCTCTTTCAGCACTTCACTCTAAAAAACATTTATAACACAATATCCATCTACATCTAACATTAATAATTCACACGTATAATCTAAAGCTAAGTCCATATTCAAATTTTCCCAATATTGCCAAAATATTTTTAAGCATTTTGTTCTTTTTTGTTTCTTTCTGTAAATTTAACAGGTACAATGCAATTTTGTTACATGGATATGTTGCATAGGGGTGAAGTTTGGGCTTTTAATGTAACCATCACCTTCATATTGTACATTGTACCTGTTAAGTAATTTCTTATCCTCACCTCCTC